TCTAAATGATCAGTGAGTGTTAGTGAGTGTGATGATTGATTTTATGTGTCCACTTGGCTATGACGTCCACATGTTAGGTTAACACCAGCCCAGATGTGGCTGTATTCTTTAGTTGTGATTAACATTTAAATCAGTAGACTGTGAATAAAATGGATTACCCTCTGTAATTTGATGGGCTTAATTCAATCAAGGAAATACTGAGGTTTCCCAGAAAAGCAGGAATTCTCCTGAAGACTAAAAAATTTCAGACTCTAGACTGCGAAATCAACTCCTATTCAAGTCTTCAGCCTGCTGGAACGCTCTATGAATGTTGAATTTGGCAGCTCCCACAATTGAATGAGCCAATTTCTTATAATAAATCTCTGTCTCTCCCTTTCTCTCTCTCTCCTCTCTCTCCACAAACACACAAATACACATATATAGTCTATTCGTTGGAGAACCCTCACTAATAAAGCTAGTGTTATAATAAACAGATTTCAAGTAAAATATTACCAATTTGACCTTGACCCTTGTTCAAATAAGTTGAATGTTTCTAGCATCTTCAAGATAAAAAAGATCTTCCCCAAATGACACAAGTAAAGGAATAAAAGGAATAATCCTTCACTAATTTGTTTCAAAGTAACCTTTTATGACTGAAATAGAAGATTTTATGGCTAAAATGTCATCCCCTCCCAAATTCTCTGAAGAGATGGACCTGCTAGGCTAGGAGTTAAGCGGGGAACCTATGGGGGAAGTTTTATGTTCCATGAAAACAAGGGAGATACTTGATAATAAAAATATCAAACTGAGGTTTTGTTTGTTTTTCTCTCATTACCCTCTAAAGATTCTTGCAGGCCTATGAGAGTCATTTGACATCACATCGCCATTCTTCCTCTTGACCAACCCCTCCTCAGAAGAACCCTTCAGGCATTAGTCCTAACCAGGAAACCTATCCAGGGCTAGGAGGGAAAATGTTGCCAGGCTTGGAGAGGGGACCTAGAAATCTCATTTAAAGCTCATATCTATGCCATTGCTGCCTTTTCTTTTTCTGAACACAACATTGTGTCATCGTTCTAGAGAAACTGCATATCTTTTCACTATGATTTAACCATGACATTAAGTGAGATTGTAACCATTGAAGCATGAAAGAGTCCTTCTGAACAAACATGAGGATTATTTGCAAATGGCAGGATTAGAAACCAAATGTATCTGATCTGCTTGAAATAATAAGTACTGTTTCACGTATGCTTGCTATATCCCAGCTACTATTCTAAATAATGTATATGTATGAACTTGTTTAATGTTCATAACAGCACTAGGGTCTGAGCCATTCAAAAGAAGAAAAATTGTGAGTCACAAGAAGGATGTTATGCAAATTTCTCAAGGTTACTTTAAGTGGCAGAAACAGGATTCAAAAGGTTTGTGCTTTTGACCACTACCCCTCACTACCCTCTCAAAGACTCTAAGGAGTTTCAAAGGGCCATTTTAGAAGGTTGTGTCAGTCACACGGCAATGGATTTTTAGTAACCTGTATGTTTTAATACCAAAATTCATGTCAAATTTTTACAATATTCATACTCTGATCCTTTTCTCAAGCCCTAAATAATTATACAGCAGATTGCTCACTTAGTAATGTGTTCATTGGTTCTGCTTTACCACTTACAAAGCTCTGAAAAGTCAACATTAACATATACATAACACTAAGCAAAAAAATTTATATCCCAATGTCTTTCTTACTGTCATCATTAACCATTTCTGAGAGTCTGCCATGCTGCCTCTTAGAGGCTTGGTTCTTTGTCTACACTCTCTTCTGACACTCGTAGTCTTACCTTTGCTTCTATCTTTTCTGCATGTATCTCTTCTACTTATTACTGGTTCTCGAGATCATGGCGAAGCCCAAGCATCAGGCACACAAGCACATGGAATAAACCAGTAGGCTATTTGCTGTTTTTACACATATCTTCCTCCTCAACAGCAACAACTTTCTGCCACATGATTCTAAATCCCCAGGGTATAAATTCTCAGTGGGCTGCAACAGATATTGAGAAGAGACAGTCACAGAGTAAAATATCTTGCCACTGCCTGGAGCAAGAAACACATGATAAGTATGTCTAAGCTCTTCCAAAGAAGAAAAAAAATATTGTCCTCAATTGATTTGGGTCACACATAGAAATACTATAGGAGAGCATTTAAAGGCATGGACACCAGGGTCAAAACACAGAGAAATACTATAGGAGAGCAGTTAAAGGCATGGACACCAGGGTCGAATTATACAGTTTGGAATTCCAGCACTGTCATAGTCAATATGACTCTGGATAAGCAACCTGACCTCTCTGTGTCTGTTACCTGCAAGTAGAGATAACATATAAAACTCTGACCTCAACATTGATGAAAATAGACAGCAACAAGTGCCAGCTGTCATTACTTAGAGTCATAAAGCTTCAGACCTGGGTGACTTTCAGAAATTAACCCCATAACTTTTATTGGTAGGGAAACTGAGGAAGAAAATAAGTAATTTGTCTGAGGGTACATAGCAGATTTTACTACTCAACAGGCTAGGACACTTACCATACCATTGCCAGCCTTTCTGGAGCCTTCTGGGTCTCAGTGCTGCCTTTAGTGTGTATGTTTCATATACGAAAGGCCAGTGTTTGTAAGCTGTTTTCCTGTTGAGTTGATAGATTTATCCTGAGCCATTATCTCACCTGTCACCTGCACTGAAGCCAGCAGCAGAAAACTAGACAGGATTAAGGCTGCCTAGAGATGGGCCTGAATCACAGTGAAGCAAACAGGATTCACCTCAGCCTCACAAACATGGTTGAGGGCAGTGAAGTAATCCGTCTCACACAGACCCGAAATACCAAACAAAAACACAGGACCCTGCTGACCACAGAACTCATCCCTCCAATTCCCTGCTAATTGTAGGTTGACAGAAACAAGGCCTAATGCAGATTAAAAGGGCCTGTGCACAAATACATTTACTGGACTCAGATAATGTCCTTTATTTGTTTATTTATTTATCAAGATGGGGTCTTGGTCTGTTGCCCCAGGCTGGAGTGCAGTGGCACGATCTCGACTCACTGCCACCTCTCCCTCCAGGGTTCAAGCGATTCTCCTGCCTCAGCCTCCCAAGTAGCTGGAATTACAGGTGCCCACTACGATGCCCGGCTAATTTTTATATTGTTAGTAGAGACGGGGTTCACCATGTTGGCCAGGCTGATCTCGAACTCCTGATCTCAAGTGATTCGCCTGCCTCAGCCTCCCAAAGTGCTGGGATTACAGGCGTGAGCCACTGCGCCTGGCCTGAGCCACCGTGCCTGGGTGTTTAATAACAGTTTTAATTCTTAAATGTTTGGAACAAAAAAGGGAAAATGAGATTATGTGATTCACATGGTACTGGTCTAGTCCTACAGCAAATTCTAGTGCCTTCTCTGATCAGGGAATTTTTACAAAATCAAATGTGATTGATACATCTTCATTCACACTGACAGGCACCCACAGAACATCCACCGAGACCTAGCAAGTAGTACTGACTGCAGGCCCAAACCCTGGGATACAACAGGGACGTGGTCTTGCCCTAAACAGTTGATAGGAGAAAGACAGCATTCACTGTGTTAATCGGAGTCCAAATTAAATGTCTTCATCTAACTCCTGTTTTACATTCTTCAGTGCTTGTCCCCAAATCCTAGCACGGCGAAGTCCTTTAGTTGTAAGCCTACACGAAAGGCATCCAGGGAGAGCCAGGTGGAAATGAAGGTGGTGGGGCTTGGCCTTTCCTCCCATTCCCTCCTTGAGCATTTGCACCTTTCCTTCTCTGTCACCCACTAGCAGTTGCCATGGTATATAAGAGTATATCTTGTTTTCTCCTTAATATGTTTATTTCTCCTCCAAGGTGCTTCTGTGTTTACTAAAACCATAGAAGCTTCCCCTCCCACCACACTCGCACCACGCACAAAAAGCAGTGGGAAAACACTTCAATTATTCCTAACCACAGCAGCACTTCTGACTAACTACAAAGAAAGAAGCTTTAGAGAAGCATAGAGGGAAACTACAGTCCCAGCGAGACCGAAACCGGAGAGGTGACATAGCCAGTCACAGCAAAAGCTGGAACCAGAGCCCAGACTTCCTCAACTCCAGCCCAATCCTTCTTCCACTGGGCAAACGCTGTTTACATGCCCTCACCTGTGACGAACAGCATGTGATAACTCACAAAATTAACACCTTTCAGGGAGAGCGGGGCACCGACCAGGTCTCTCTGATAATTAATTGCTGTCTAAGACATAACTGCTGTGGGGAGGAGGTTGGTGTTTGGCGGGGGAGGGCTAGGCTGCATTTTCGTAAGGACAATAATATATAAAAAAGGACAATCATAGATCAAAGGGGGTATTTTTGGGTCAACTTGATATGTAGTGGAAAGCAGATTGGGAGGGGAGCCAAGTACTGGATATGCTCTGTGTGTGTGTGTGTGTGTGTGTGTGTGTGTGTGTAAATCATGTTCCTCTCTGGGTCTGTTTCCCAATTTGTAGAGTGTAAAGATCTCTCTCTTGCAGAGACAAGTGATGGAACGACCTTGACAGAAGGGAGCAGAGAGATGAAAGGAGAAGGGGGAGGAAGCCAAGTAAAGGAGAGAGAAATGTGTGTGATGGGGGAGGAGATGCGGAGTTGGGTGGAAATGCCTTTTAATAAAATAATAGGAAAAAGGTATTAAACCTAAAACTGCAGCTCTTGAGGGCTCATTTTTTCATCTTAGTTTTTTGGATTTACAGGTACAGTGCATAGTAATTTTTGGAGAATTGGAGTGAATGAACGAAAAGCGTGAAACGCCTGACAGGAGCGGGAAGATCCACCAGAGAAAACGAGCAGGGACGCAGCTGTAGTGCCTGGTCCTGCGGGATGGTCCCCACGCCGCCAGCCGCGTGTTCCCCCAACCCGGCGCTCCGGGCGCCCTCTCGGTGAGCCGCCCTGAAACCGCCAGGGGGCGCTCCCCGGCTGCCAGGGCTGAGGCGGGCGGAGCTGCTTTAAATCGCGGCGCCCAGCGGTTTGGCGTCTCAGTTCCTGAGCCTGGGAGCAACCGCAGCTTCTAGTATCCAGACTCCAGCGCCGCCCCGGCCCCGGACCCCAAGCCGGACCCAGAGCTTCTCCAGAGGCAGCGCAGCGAGCAGGGCTCCCCGCTTTAACTTCCTCCGCGGGGCCCAGCTACCTTCGGGAGCCCGCGTTGCGCACCTGCAAACTCTCCGCCTTCTGCACCTGCCACCCCTGAGCCAGCGCGGGCGGCCGAGCGAGTCATGGCCAACGCGGGGCTGCAGCTTTTGGGCTTCATTCTCGCCTTCCTGGGATGGATCGGCGCCATCGTCAGCACTGCCCTGCCCCAGTGGAGGATTTACTCCTATGCCGGCGACAACATCGTGACCGCCCAGGCCATGTACGAGGGGCTGTGGATGTCCTGCGTGTCGCAGAGCACCGGGCAGATCCAGTGCAAAGTCTTTGACTCCTTGCTGAATCTGAGCAGTGAGTGCACCCCCACCTTCCAGCCGTCCAGAGGCCCCAGTCCCCCTGCAGCTCCCTTACCGTCTCATTCTGTCGTGTGATTCCATGGTTATCAGTCTTCAGTTGATCAAGTCTTCTGATCATGTGCTCTGTCGTAAGGAAATGAAGAGAATCCTGGTCTGAGAAAAGGGACGCCCAGGCATAAGCTCTAGTTTTGCCTAAAACTCCCTGGGTGACACTTTTCTGCCACTCTAGGTGTGGCTTCATCCTAAATTCGTATGCCGGGGGGTCGAGATTGAGGGAGTGAAGGCTAAACTTGAACTTGAGCTCTGAGACCTCTCCTAGGCATTCTGAGATCTGGGGTAAATTGAGAATTGGTAGGGTTCAGACAAGAAAATGGGATGGCTTAAAAACTTTGGAGCCTGGTAACTTCTCAAGTGTGCAAGCTTAAATAAATAATCCTCAAGTATCAGATATAATTTTTGTAACCTTTACTATGATTTTGCATAGTAAAATTTACATTCCCACTTGAAATGTCCCAAGTGTCTTCTGCTCATACTTGAGGATGATTCTTTTAATGTGTAAGATCTAGTTAGTGCAGGGAGGCCCCTTGCAAGACTCTTTGGAGAAGCCGCTTGAGATTCCCCCAAAGTTTGAAGTTTTCCACCCAAGGTCTTCGGTGGAGGCTGATGGTGTAGTTCTATTTTGGAAAGAGAAGGTTGGTGGCAGGTGGGGGAAGGCTGACAACGGAAGTTCTAAATAACCTGCCCAACATAATACAAAGGGAAAAGTAAAGGCACTGAAGGGAAATGCAGCAAAATAGTCATAGCTGATGAAATCAGAGGTCAGCTGGGAGTGGAAGGCAGTGAGAGAGAAAGAAGAGGTGAGTCTTCCTTAGGTTTCCATCTTCCACAAAGGAATTTCTGTGTAATGGATGTTCAGTGACCCCTTGTCACGTTGGAAAGGATTGTATAGAGAGACATATTTCTAAGGATGGTGGGAAGAAGGATAATAGGATAATTTTTTACTTTTTTTAACTAAAGGTTTTGAGTGCCTTGTCAGAAAAATCATTAAATTCCCGTTTACTTAGGTAATAATGATTCATGGCTGGAGTATCTTCCTTGAGAAATCACATTACTTGTCTTATATCATGTGTCTGTTATGCCCTTTAACTCACTTGAAGAAAAGGTCCCTTAGTCTTTGCCTAGATAAACGTGACTGCCCACTAGCCCCCATTGTGTGCTAAGGGTGGAAAGTGTTGGCATTGTTCAAGTTTACTTAACTTGTTTTGTCTACCTCCTATCAATGGACAACTTTTAATAGTGTATATCAAAAGCCATATAGTTTAGAGCTATTAAACCTGTTCCACATCTGTTTAAACACCTTGAATACCTGTGGCATTGGCTCAGTCAATGTGCATGGTCGTTTTGAGTGTTATGATTTCAGCTTCTGAAGGTTCCCATGTTAGGACTTCTTTACACCAAAACCAATCTCTAAGTTTAGTAATTATGTGTTGCTCATTGCCCTCATGGGTTATATTTGTGCTTATAAAGTGAAAAATTAGGTAATAATTATTGAATTTCTCCATGGAAAGACAGATATATTTAAGGAAACGGTGTCAGGCATTTTAGGTAGCACGTTAAGGAATTGGCAGACAGAGGTTTCTAAGGACAATTCCAGAGAGGCCTCACTGTCAGTTTTGTTCCTCTGATCAAAATAGTTCCTTTCAACATCTTTAAATAGGTTTTCTTTTAACTTTCCTGAAATGACCAAATGAAATCAGATTGATCCATGTTGTAAAAACTCAAAGGGATCATCCTTACACACGCTAATGTGTTAAAATGTTTGACTTTGGTTAACGTAGTTGTTACAGTTTTTAAAACTGTGGTGAAAGGACTAAATACCTATTCCCCCACATACACTTTAGAGATGTCTTCTTAGTTTTTTTTTTTAAACTCCAGATCAGAATCCACTTTTGTTTTACTTAAAGCCATAGTTTATCCAAGGTGTGGCTTACACCTTTCTCTCAAAACCCATTCTCAGAAGAGGGACCCTGGACTCACAGGTTTTCTCTTCTAACCTGCCATGACTCGTGGGATGCTTTTGGATGGAGTCCAGGAAACCTTACTCCATTTCTCTGCCTGAGCAGTGGTGTTTACGCCCACCAGCTGTAGAGATCTGGGATGGTGATTCATTGGCTGGTTTTGGGATAGTTTTGTTACATGTGGAGACGAAAAGGGTTATGTGTGTATATTTAAGCAGTATCCCTCATAAAAAAGCTGCATTTCATTAAGTGTGTTTAGGTGAAAAGCTTAGCTGTGGGTTTCCTGAAATTGTACCTTGCTGTCTTTCCCAGTAGAGAACACTTGTCTTCGAGCCCAGATGCAGGGCTTTGCCAAGGCTTTAGCACTGGAGGTATTAAAATCTCTTGTTTGCCTGGTTTATGTAGGGTAGGTTGTAAAAAGCATATGACCTTCATAAAGTAGCTGAAGGAATACAGTGTGCTAATAGTGTATACAGTAAATACAAAATGAGATACAGCAAGTCTTCTTCTTTTAGGTAGTTCTTGGCAAGCAGTTTATGAAAATGTAACTGAGGAACTTCCTGGGGGAAACAAATGTCACATTGTGTCTTGTAGTTTTACAATGGCTGATACAATCTCCATTTCATCCAAAGTATGAGATTTTATTGACCCTGGGCATTCTTGTAGCTGAAAGCTGGAATATACAAAAAATGCCAGACACAGTTGCAGTGTACGTTTCTGGAGTCACCTGTACCTCTTGCTTGTTTTCATCGAATTCGCAAACTTTTAGGAGGCTAGCACCAATTTTATGTGCTTGGTGAATTGTTTCTTCTTAGTTGACTTTAATAGCTAGAGCTGTCCAAAGACTGGGTTGCTGTAGGAGGCTGCATGGTGGGAGGTGTGCCAGCAGAGAATAAATAAGCATTTTGAAGGAATGTTGTAGGGAAGATCCAAGCACCAGACAAATGGGAGGTTAGGCTAGACTCTCTCTCAATCTCAGCGAACACTGAGATTCTGTAATTTGTTTATAAGCTCCTCTAGCCTGTTTAACTTGCTTTGCATGAATCCACATGTGTGTAGGTGTGCTTAATGAGTATTGGTGGCTGTGAGGTTTCCCAGCACTCTCACCATGATGTCAGGCTCAATCAGAGAAACAAAATCACTGACTTGGACAGTCTTTGAAGCCTAAGTGGAGAGGAGGGCACCTATTTATGCTTCTCCAGACGCTTTATGCCTGCTGAACCGAGGGTACTCGAAGAACCATTGGTGTTCAGGTATACTTCATAAATCAGTTCTGACTCTTAGAATAATGGAAGTTGAAACAAAAATCCAGGCTTGAGATCAGAAGTTCTCTATTCTTACTGTGGTTTGGCATTAAGTAGTCAGGTGTATAATGGTGAACCACGTGATCTCCCTGGTTTCAAGTAGTTACCCCACTTATAAAATAGGGCAGAGTGGGAGGAATGGGGAGATGAATCTATGATTCATCTATCCATTCAACAGATGCAAGCCAGGCCCTATTCTTGCAGCTAAGGATGGTGCAGCTAAGATGAGTTCTAAGATGTCTTCCAGTGCCAGCATTCTTTGTTATTACTTCAGTGATTGAAGAGGAAGAAGCAAGTCACATAGCTTAGGTTTCCTTAATTGGAGTGATTAAGGAAGTATAGTGGAGGTAATATAGAAGCATCAACTTAATTCTGAGAAAATTTCTCGAAGAAACACACAAACGAGAAAGGTAGCAAAACTTCTGAGGACATCCTGAAAAGTGGTACATCCTGCCTCATCCAGGATCATTTTCACCCCTGATTTTGCTGATGTTCTGAGGTCACATCTGGTGACCACCACCTCACGCACCAATAAGCGGGAAATGCTAACGATTAGGACTTTTATGAAACGCTGAACTTCAGTAAGAGCAAAAGATTTAATATGGGAAAAAAGCCAGAGGAGTACACTTCTGTGACGGTCTGTGTTGAGCGCACTTAATTGCAGGGGAGAAGAAAGTATAGTATTTTTGTTCTAGTCACCCAATCATCAGTTCATTTATTCACTTAATACTAATTAAGCAACTATAGATGCAAAGAGAGACGATGTGGGAATGAGGTAGAATTGGAATCTGCAGTCAACATTTGAACAACACAGGTTTGAATGGCAAGGGTTCACTTATAGGTGGATTTCTTTCAACCGATACCGATCAAGAATACAGTATCTGAGGGTCCAAAGCCTGCATGTAGGGAGGGTTGACTTTTTGTATACAAGGCTTCCACAGGATCAACTGTAGGACTTGAGCATGTGCAGATTTAGTTACCTGTGGGTGGTCCTGGAACCAATCACCCTTGTATACCAAGAGATGACTGTATTTTGTTTATGATATATAGAACCTAAGGTAATATGGCTAGAAAATAGCATAAACAATGTCTGGTATTGACAGTAGATTCTACTGCTTGTATAGCAAGACTTTAAAGCTTTAGAAAAATTCCATATATGTCTTTCTAGACATTTGTTGATTAACCTAACTGTAGCAGATTAGTAACTTCCAACTCACTTCTTGTCTCATAAGTAGAGATCTTCATATTTACTTTTAATTATACTTTCAGGTTGAAAATGATGAGAACTCCTTAGGGGGTCTTTAATCTCAAGATTATCAGTCTAGCTAAATATAATTAAAAGACTGCCTTCTCTGTTTACTGCTGAATAATGATGAGAAAAAATAGTGTAATCTTTTTAATGTTTGTTAACCAGTTTCTCCATAGACAACTTTAGTCATTGGTCATAATATTGCAGAGTTGGCTGCAAATTTAAGAGGTGAGAAAAGGAATATGTTTGTTCATAGGTTTGTTCTAATCAAACCAATTCAAAGTTAATATTGCAAGGCTATACTGCATCTATCTCATCCAAAATGTTGTTTTATAGCTTTCAAACATCCCTCTTAACTTCTCTGCTCTGCCACTCATCATTCCATTAGGGAAAAACAAAACAAAACTTCAGCTTTGAAGCTCGTTAGACGCATACTTTAAAAAATAGATCAAACTAAGCAAAAAGTACAATTTGTATTATCTGCATGAGTTTCTAGTTTTTAGTGACCTAAGCTAAGTCTTTTTGTAGCAAGATTTTAGCATACCAGGCTCTCAGGGGAGGTGTTTCTCAGCATTATTTCAAAAATTAAGCTAAACAAAAGAGAATAAGTATTTTTACCTATCATATTGGTACAGTTTTTAAAGCATAAAGACATGTTCTAATTTAAATTTATTGAAATTTGATAAATCCATGTGACTTTTCCAGTACTGTGCTTGGTGCTTTAGATGGAAATAGGAATAAATATCTGATTCAAATCATCCAGGAGTTCACAATTACATACTTTACAACTCTGATTTAAAACACTTCTATGATGTGAAGGTATTCATCTGGTTCCAGCTTAAAACTGTGCAATTTAGATTTGATCTGCACATAAAACACTTGTAACTTGTAACACAATAGTTGCTTCACTTTGACTTGTAATCTATGATTACCTATGCCTTGCTTGTGAGTTTTCGTGCTGTTTTAATTCTCAGCTTTTTGTGCGTGACTGCATGTGTATATTATTTTTGCATTTTCCTCACATATCACTATACTTAAGAATTTATCCAAATGTCTCCAATGAAGTAAAGTAAGATTTTGGGTTTGATGCAAATCTAATATTGGAACATACAAATAAATTTTATAAGTCAATGGTTGACTATAAGTATAAGTGAAAATATTACTTTGCAAAATGACATTTTAAAAAACAAAACAGGATCTCATTTCTATGGTTTATGCAATTTTTAAATACTGTGTTTTCCATTCTCTCCATTACTTTTTGTGTATTATGCAAATAATATATTATTCTATAGAGAAAGGAAACCTGGTAGGTTTATTAGCAATCACAGAACAGAATATTAGTCCCCAGCCCCTTGGAAAGAACTTTGTAGACGAAGTGGCAAGATAGATTTGACATGCATCAAATGTGTTTTCTTTGAGAACTTAATGGGCAAAAACTTAGAGATTAAAAATGTGAATATTAGATATTCCAGGTGGGTGCAGTAAGGGCCCTGGAGTAGTTTATGCACATGTGTTCCTTGCCTGGGAGATCAGTAGTTTTACACAGTCTGACTCATGAGATTGATGCCCGGTTAGACTTCTCTTGAAGACTACCCTGTGATCTAAGTGCTCAGACCTGCTGGACGAGTGACCTTCTGTTTTTACTTGAAGAAAAGATCAGTGTGATTATTATATAAACTGGGTCCAGTTTGCAGCCTCACAACTTGAACAAAGAGAAAAACTTGGAGCAAGATCAGAAAAAACACCGAAAATGATTAATAAAAGGTTGAAAAAGAGTATTTATGAAAAAATAAAATGGAGGAGGCTGTGAAATATAAGATGCTGGATGCTGGAAGAGCTATCATAGAAATAATATTTACTGATTGTGTGATCTCTATACTGACAGTAAAAATCATGTCGCCCCTTTCTCAAGACAATCATATGACTTCTGATTACACTTAGAATAGAATCCAAACTTCTTACCCTAATTTGCAAAGCTCTGCATGACATATGCCTTCTGCCCACCTTGCTAAACTTCGTTTTACTTTACACATCCTATCATCCTACATTAGGGTGACCAGCTCTCCCCATTTGTCCAGGACTGAGGACCTTCTAAGGATGTAAGACTTTCAACTTTAGAGCTAGGATTGTTCCAGGCAAACTGAGATATGTGGTTTCCCTATCCTCCAGACATGGATCATCTTTGTTACTTTCAGCATCTCCTCTTCCAGCATATCTCTGCCTGAAATATTTTCCTTCCACGTGTAATCTTAGGATCACATCTGGAATCTGTGTTATGTATGGGTTATTTCATTTGTTATTTTCCAATAATGATAGCCTTTGCAAAAACCATCCCTCAGAAAGAGGAAATACCTTAGCCATGGAGTCCTTGGTACTTTCCTCTTCATGCCACAGTACGGCTTGTGATTCCAAGCAAACGGTTGTGTAATAACCTTACAAGCAGCTTCAGTTCCTTCCTGATAAATCTGTGGTCCATGGAACATGTGTTTTGATCCAGCAGTCCCTCTGCCACCTGGAGTCTTGATATAAGTGTGTGGGTCAGTGTGCATGTGCGCCCATACATGCTTATGAGGAGGTCAGTGTGTGAGGGGAATCAGGAAGTCTCTTTTTTATTTTTAAATGAAATCAAGTAAAACTTTACCTTGGCTTCCAAAATCTCTCTCAAATACTGTAAACAATACCTTTGATACTTCTACAAAGAGATTATGGCCAGGCGCAGTGGCTCATGCTGGTCATCCCAGAACTTTGGGAGGCCGAGGTCGGTGGACCACCTGACCTCAGGAGGTCGAGACCATCCTGGACAACATGGTGAAACCCATCTCTACTGAAATACCAAAAAAAAAAAAAAAAATAGCCCGGCATGGTGGCTCCTGCCTGTAGTCCCAGCTACTCAGGAGGCTGGGGGATGAGAATCGCTTGAGCCCCGGAGGCAGAGTTTGCAGTGAGCTGAGATTGCACCACTGCACTCCAGCCTGGGTAACAGAGCGAGACCCTGTCCAAAAAAAGGAAAAAAAGAAAAAGAAAGATATTACTATAATTTTATCATAGATTGTCTGGTTATAGCAAAGATGGATAATCAGTAAATCAAGATTTAATGAAGTTTTAGAAATATTTAGCTTCAGTTATGATTGGTAACCTAAGTTCTCAATCTTGATGATATTAAGGCTAAGCCTAGGCCTAATTAGACATTGAGATACAAAACCTTTCCAACATCTCAGTCAAAGACCATCAAGGAGTCAATTGTTCCAATCCACTGGATAAAGATATAATTTACATTTTATTTATATATTTGAAATATTATTCCAAATAATACTAAGTTTCTTGCTCAAGATAGCACAGTTCATTAAAGCTGAAAAATACTTATATATGCAAAAAGTACTTGTCATGTATTATCACTGTCAACGATATAGTGATCTTTAATTAAAAGAGGACATAAATCTAGAATTTAAACAAAATCTTCTAACCAGCACAGTTTCAGTTCATATTTAAAAGTCCGTGCCTTTATGCCACAATGAATCAAGCTTTTACTCTTTAAGAAACATATTGATAATCTCTCAAACTTGACCCTGTTTATTTGCTTATGAGTTAGTGCACCAAAAATAATAATGGGGAATGAGAAAAAAATGGAATCCTGAGAAACACTACATTGAATTATTGCGTGTGTTATTTTACAACATCACAGCTTAAATAGCTTTAAAAACTGGTGATGTCTTTGAATAAGAATCTACTACTATGTTTCAAGGTAACATCTCAAAGGTTATTTTGTTTTGTTTTAAGAAAATGACTTCTATATTCTCCCCTACTACTCCTATTCACATCACTGGAGATACGAATATTGCTTATCCAGTCATGATAATCTATAAAACATTTATTTTTTATCCTCCAATTCACCCAGTTTTTCTGAAGCTTGCTGATTGGGGTATAAAGCTGGTAACTAATATCAAAGATATACTGAAAACCATTTTGATTACAAATAGTTAACATCCAGGATCATATATATGATTGCTACTTAAAATTAAAATTATCTTAGCAAGGATTAAAATCCCTTAGTAAAAAATAAATATGTATTAGTTCAGCTAACCCTATTCAATTAGATCATTAATTATTTTTCCAGTTGATTTTGAATTTAATGTTGAAAACATAAAATCTTGGAGTGGAGGGATCTCTTTTTCATCATCCAGTCCAGCATTTGTTTTTCTGGAGAAGATAGTGTATGTTGGGTTACCAGTGGAAATACCAGTGTGACTGGCGTCTCTAGATTCCTAGTCCAGTTTTCTCTTTTCCATACAACAGTGACATATACTTGGTCTTCTTCCATTTTTCTCTTGTTGGTCCAAGCATATTTCACATGTTTTAAAATGTTTTCTGCCAGGCACATTGCAAGCAACCCGTGCCTTGATGGTGGTTGGCATCCTCCTGGGAGTGATAGCAATCTTTGTGGCCACCGTTGGCATGAAGTGTATGAAGTGCTTGGAAGACGATGAGGTACAGAAGATGAGGATGGCTGTCATTGGGGGCGTGATATTTCTTCTTGCAGGTAATAGAGGCTGTGCCTTGCTTTCACCTTACTAATCTGTTCCTAGCATGATTTGAAATCTATTACGTTGGATTCATTACACTTGATTTCAGTCTCTAAGGCAAACTGCAAACATAGACCTGAAGTCCAGTTTACTTTCATGTTCTCAAACACGAACCAAATGAAAATTTGAGAGCTCTGCTCACATCTGACAGGTCTGTTGGTTGAAGTTTCAAGTGGCAACTGGTTTGTTAGAACCAGTCTCTTACAGTGAAGAAAGTTGTTCACTATTTAGCAAACGCTAAGGAGGAAGTTCATGTAATTCAGAAAATTCCTATGTTGTCTCCACAGATTCTATGTGGAAAAGATGGGGAATAGTGAGAGAAAACACAAGAAAATATGTGAACCCTTCAGGTCTGTGAGGGATGGAAGGATTGAGTTTATTGGAGAAAAATCAGGATAGCATTCCAGCTGGGCAGATCGAATTCAAGAATAAACAGGATGTACCCATAGACCAATGAAAAGAAAGGCCAACTGGAGTAGAGGTGGCCTGTTGGAATGGTCAGTTTAAGGCAGGAAAAAAAAATACAGAAATACTTTTAAATTTTTTTGGTAAAATAATGATATTATATTTTCCATTGAAAATAAATATGTGTTTTTTAGGCCAGGTATGGTGGTTCATGCCTGTAATCCCAGCACTTTCGGAGGCTGAGGAGGGCGTATCACCTGAGGTCGGAAGTTCGAGACCAGCCTGGCCAACATGGTGAAACCCCATCTCTACTAAAAATACAAAAATTAGCTGGGTGTGGTGTTGCACGCCTGCAATTCCATATACTCCGGAGGCTGAGGCATGAGAATCACCTCAACTAGGGAGCCAAGATCGCGCCACTGCACTCCAGCCTCAGCAACAAAAGACTCTGTCTCCAAAAAAAAAAAAAAAAAGGAAGGAAAATATCTGTTTTTTAAATCAAGTGTTGATTGATAAGTTACATTATGTGTCATTTCAGAAAATCAAAGTCAGAAAACATGGACAGCATTATTTCAAAGCTTTATAATAATGCTTATTTAAAAAATTATAGTGTATGTATATTATGTATGTGTATATATACATATATATAATCTCTGTGTGTGTATATGTTTTTTATATCTGTACACTGTATTATATATATAATCTCTGTATATATTATACAGCTATCATAGATTACTATATATTCTCTATATTAGGTATTATATGCATATATTATATATGTAGTATATTATAGTATTTTTTTTAAATAACAGATATAATTAATGATATAAATCTACTAATAGGAAAAACTAGAATAGACTTTATTTTCTTGTTTTATTTTTGACAGAAGACTTGTAGGGGCTTTTGCTCCAGTATAATATATCAGTTTAACCAGTAATTGAGGAAGAGTATCTGTGGCTTTGCTAAAGATATGGTCAGTTTAAAATGACCAGTCTCTCAGTTTACCCAAATACAAATTGTCTCCTGTCCGAAAAGGCATGGATAGTGTTTTATTCCCAATAATTTAATCTTATATCAAAGGCTGTGAATAGTAATCTTTGTGGCCATCGTTGGCATGAAGTGTATGAAGTGCTTGGAAGACGATGAGGATGGAATGCATTGCATTCTTCTTTTGCTTGCCTTCTTGTAACTCCCGCAGGTGACTGCATCACTCCTATTCCAGTTTCAGGGACTTCTCTTAGGAGTAAGGGTCACAAGTTCAAGACCATTCACATGGTCTATTTGAGCACCCAAAAGCAATAGTGTTTTCTGTCATGTCTAGAGGCAATTACACTGGACTATGTTTTTGGTTGGGGAGAGAGAGTAGCATAGAAACGTCTAATCTGTCTATATTGATTAATGCTTAAAATTACTATAAGAAAGTTATTTAACTTTTCTGATAAGAAAAAATGAGGTATTTTATAAATCTTATAAATGATTAAGGGAATGATTTTGACTAAATTATGTATCTGCTATCATTGAATATAAAATGCCATGGGAAATTGAGACTGGGTTGCATAAATTGATCTGATGTGGCACCCTCAACAAATCTCAGGTCAATCTATACCTGTGCCAGGTATTCCCTTGGCCAATGGGGCAGTAGTAATGCAGGTATTCTGGTCCATTCTGAGACATGTCCTAATCTCACTGCTGTCTAGCTGCTTGCATTCCTTTTGATTCTGCAGAAATGTAAATTTTGAGTTTGATCAAGAACATAGAAGAGTTTTCATCTTCCCCTTTTGCAAGTAATTCCATCTGTACTAATAATGACAATAGTTTCATCAAATGTAGTTTAGTACCCTAATATATAACAGTATATTTAAAAGAGATTATGTACAACATACACCTGACTAATTGTTTCCAAAAAAGCATTATTTGTGCCAAGATGTCATAAAAAGTATAAATTTTGTCTAACTCCCACCTAGTATTTTTTATATTTTAATAGGTACTCAGAATAAATCATATCTGGACTTCTAATCTCCCTAATACCAAAATAAAAATGTCAACACTGTTGATGAGATTTAATTCTTGCAAAATATGTTTTGGTTTAACAGCTTGTGTATTTAGGCTCAGTGTTCCATGGTGATTAACAGTCTTTTGTTCTGAATTTCTGTAGGTCTGGCTATTTTAGTTGCCACAGCATGGTATGGGAATAGGATTGTTCAAGAATTCTATGACCCCATGACCCCAGTCAATGCCAGGTAATGCTATTCATGCGTAAAATAGTTTGTTTTCTGAGAAAATACCCTTTTTATGTTCTACAAAGTCCTTCTAGTGCCATCATTTCTCAGATTTGCTTTCAAGAATTTTATGTCAAACCTACAAACAATTTAAATGATCTGTGACTTATGTTAAAATGAGTTTGATAATGGCTTTAACAGCCTGAATTGATGACAAAATACCTTCCAAAGTAGAACAGTTTCAAGTCCTAAACTTTTCAACTGTATACTGGACTCTTTTTTTTCCCCTTTTTTTCAGGTATTAATAAAGATGTTAATATACTTGAAATTTCCTTTTTGAAGTGTATTCTGATGTTTACAGCACTTACTGTATGATTATTTGTAACTAATGCACAATTTATGATTGATTGAGAAAAACTGTACTACTCTAGGGCTTAATGAATAATACTTCATTCCCAACAGTTCATTTTTACACATAAAGCTATGATATATGTTTTTAGTATGTTCAGACACCACCTTGAAATTTTTTGTTCTTTCACAACTATAAAATTGGCTTTACAAAGGTCATCTTTCTTAATACTGCAAGTTGTGCAAGTTGAGCTGATTCTTAGCTCTCATGTGACAACATTCTTTAATCAGAGACGAGGCTCTTCATCTCACTGTCTTCACATCTTTAATGCCTAATAACTACATTCAGTCAGGATGTTAAAATATAATTATTGTTTGTTGAGTGCTTGGATGAATGGATGAAAAACCTCAGTGTTTGGAGAGATAAGATGTGTTTTTCTTTTTATATAATCACCCACATATGGGAGAACACGTACTCCAATGGTTGTGTTGGAACCCATCCCATAAGATTTACAATGTAAGAACAGAAACTGCTAGAGGTCAGTAGTCTAAAATTTCACCAAGGTCATAATACCAGTAATGCACAGGAAAGCACTTTATAAATTGCCAGTCATTTTGCAATTATTATTTACATGATTGCATGTGATCCTAAAAGCAGTCTATTGAGGCACGTGGGATTATCCTGCTTTGAGAGGAGGAGAAACTGAGGCTGAGAGGTGAAGTTGCTCTCCCCGAATTGCAGCAGTTGAGAGTTGGCATCAGGATTCAGACTTGGCCTTATAACTAATAGAACCAACCCTTCTCTACTCTTCCATACGGTCCATAATCACTCACAGATACCCCACCCTAAGTGTCTGCTTTAATACATCTGCCTGGATCAGCTTAATCCAGAATGGTTCATGGGCTGCTTAGAACTTTTCTTTACAAAACCATAAAATTTGGATTTTAGATTACATAGGTGCCTGGGATCAACAGATCATCTGTTCAAAACTCTGATTATCTGCATTATGCTGTATCAGTTTCTTTATAGAATATGATTACTACTTAGTGATATAGCTTCCTTTGCTAAGTTTCAGCCTAGGAACCATGATCCAAACCCTACTTCTAAAACACATAAACATGCTTTACAAGTATCCTACATATGGAAAAGTCTTTGGAATTATTTGTGTACTGGCGTTACATGTGTTATTTCCTGACCTACTATTGCAAATTGTCAACAATTGCAATATAAACATTCTTTTGTGTATATGTTCACAAATCTTAAAGTACTTCCCAAGGGATATTGAGGGATTATTTTCAATGAAAAAAGTATAATGAGTATTGATTTTTTTCCTTTATTGTATTAGAAAAGTTGCCAATAATTCACTGATTAACAAGCACGTGGGTTTTTCCTTTTAGGTACGAATTTGGTCAGGCTCTCTTCACTGGCTGGGCTGCTGCTTCTCTCTGCCTTCTGGGAGGTGCCCTACTTTGCTGTTCCTGTCCTCGAAAAACAACTTCATACCCAACACCACGGCCCTATCCAAAACCTGCACCTTCCAGTGGGAAAGACTACGTGTGACACAGAGGCAAAAGGAGACAATCATGTTGGAACAAACTGAAAATGGACACTGAGATACTATCATTAACATTAGGACCTTAGACTTTTGAGTATTGCAATCTGAAGTATGGTATTACAAAACAAACAAAGAAACCCATGTGTTAAAAATACCTATTGCTAAACATGGCTTAGTCTTATTTTATCTTCTTTCCTCAATACAGGAGGGAAGATTTTTCCATTTGTATTACTGCTTCCCATTGAGTAATCATACTCAAATGGGGGAAGGGGGTGCTCTTAAATATATATAGATGTGTATATATACATGTTTTTCTATTAAAAATAGACAGTAAAATATTCTTCTCATTATGTTGATACTAGCATACTTAAAATATCTCTAAAAATAGGTAAATGTATTTAATTCCATATTGATGAAAATGTTTATTGGTATATTTTTCTTTTTTGTTTATGTATACATATATAATAGTCAAATATCATTTACTCTTCTTCATTAGCTTTTAGTGTCTTTGCCATAAGACCTAGTCTAATCTACCAAGAATGAATTCTTTCAATTCTTCATGCGTGCCCTTTTCATATACTTATTTTATTTTTTACCATAATCTTATAGCACTTGCATCGTTATTAAGCCCTTATTTGTTTTGTGTTTCATTGGTCTCTATCTCCTGAAGCTAACACATTTCATAGTCTACATTTTAGTTTCTAAAGCCAATAAGAATTTATTACAAATCAGAACTTTGGAGGCAAATCTTTCTGCATGACCAAAGTGATAAATTCCTGTTGACCTTCCCACACAGTCCTCGTACTCTGACCCATAGCATTCTTGTTTGCTTTGAAAATATTTGTCCAATTGAGTAGCTGCATGCTGTTCACCCAGGTGTTGTAACACAATTTTATTGATTGAATTATGAAGCTACTTATTCATACTTATATATCCCACCTAAACTACCTTTTTGTTCCCCTTCCTTAATTGTATTGTTTTCCCACATGTAATTATCATGTAGTTTATATCTTCCTAATAAGGTGTGGTCTGTTTGTCTGAACAAAATGCTAGACTTTCTGGAGTGATAAGCTGGTGACAAATATTCTCTCTGCAGCTGTAAGCAAGTCACTTAATCTTTCTACCTCTTTTTTCTATCTGCCAAATTGAGATAATGATTTAACCAGTAAGAAGAGGTAGTGTGAATATTAGTTTATATTACTCTCATTCTTTGAACATGAACTATGCCTATGTAGTGTTTTTCTTTGCTCAGTTGGTTGTTTAGAAGTCACTGAACAAAACCTACACACACACCTTCATGTGGTTCAGTACCTTCCTCTCTCTATCAGTCTATTTCCATTCTTTCAGCTGTGTCTGACATGTTGTTTGTGCTCTGTGCCACTTTAACAACTGCTCTTACTTTTCCAGTCTGTACAGAATGCTATTTCACTCGAGCAAGATGATGTAATGGAAAGGGTGTTGGCACTAGTGTCTGGAGACCTGGATTTGAGTCTTCGTGCTATCAATCACTGTCTGTGTTTGAGCAAGGCATTTGGCTGCTGTACGCTTATTGCTTCATCTGTAAGAGGTGGTTTGTAATTCCTGATCTGCCCACCTCACAGTGATGTTGTGGGGATCCAGTGAGATAGAATACATGTAAGTGTGGTTTTGTAATTTAAAAAGTGCTACACTAAGGGAAAGAATTGAGGAATTAACTGCATACGTGTTGGTGTTGCTTTTCAAATGTTTGAAAAGAAAAAAAAAAATTAAGAAATGGGTTTCTTGCCTTAACCAGTCTCTCAAGTGATGAGACAGTGAAGTAACATTAAGTGCACTAAACCAATAAGATTCTAAGGAAGTTTTATCTTCTGCAGTGAGGATGGCCCAATGCTTTTCGTGGCTGAGCAGATGTAATGGGAAGAAATAAAAGCCTAAGTGTTGGTAAATCCAACAGCAAGGGAGATTTTTGAATCATAATAACTCATAAGGTGCTATCTGTTAAGTGATGCCCTCAGAGCTCTTGCTGTTAGCTGGCAGCTGACGCTGCTAGGATGGTACTTCACAATAAACTACACAAGGAAAGTCAGCCACCGTGTCTTACGAGGAATTGGACCTAATACATTTTAGTGTGCCTTCCAAACCTGAGAATATATGCTTTTGGAAGTTAAAATTTAAATGGCTTTTGCCACATACATAGATCTTCATGATGTGTGAGTGTAATTCCATGTGGATATCAGTTACTAAATATTACAAAAAAATTTTATGGCCCAAAATGACCAAAAAAATTGTTATAATAGAACTCATCCAATTTTGATATTTTTATATTCTTCTACCACACCTGGAAACAGACCAATAGATATTTTCGGGTTTTATAATGGGAATTTGTATAAAGCATTATTCTTTTTCAATAAATTGTTTTTTAATTTAAAAAAAGGATTATTGGCTTGTTTTCTAATCATTTATTGTAAGATTGCCATTCTTGGTAGAGGAGGTGGCTCGGGATCTGACTCACCATGTTCCTGGGAAAGAACTATGATGCCTCTGGCCCATCTATCAAATTTGAGTGGTTCCACCCACTAGAATGCTCTATTTCTCTCAAATTGAGTTCCTCATCAAGGGTGGTAATAGAAGAGGATGCCAGGAGATGTTACTTAATACTTTTTCTCATCTATAAAAAGGGGACATATAATAATAAATGATAAATGATAAGATATGAAGATATTTTGTGAACTGTAAAGCACTGTGCAAACTGAAGTGGCTTTGTTCCTCACAAAGGTGGAAGAGTGAAAGACAGCCATTGGAAACCCATTGTTGTCTCTGTAATGATGATGATCAAAACTACCCCTTAAGGATATGCTGGAACTCATTCACTCATTATCTTAAAGTATCAATAACTGACACAACCTTAATGTGTGGCCTGTTCCTGGACAATGTTCACGTTGAGACCAGGCTTGTAAGTAAAGGCTTGCAGCTCTAATGTGGAGTCTTAGACATCAGCATGAAGAGTGAGGTGCAAAGATCATTGCCAGTCAGTTTAACTTGAATTCTCCTTAAATTAAGCAGATGCATCAGAATTCTCACTCTGTTTCTACAGAATTTGAATATCTGAAGACAGGCCGGGCGCGGTGGCTCAAGCCTGTAATCCCAGCACTTTGGGAGGCCGAGACGGGCGGATCATGAGGTCAGGAGATCAAGACCATCCTGGCTAACACAGTGAAACCCCGTCTCTACTAAAAAATACAAAAAATCAGCCGGGCGAGGTGGCGGCGCCTGTAGTCCCAGCTACTCGGGAGGCTGAGGCAGGAGAATGGCGTGAACCCGGGAGGCGGAGCTTGCAGTGAGCTGAGATCCGGCCACTGCACTCCAGCCTAGGTGACAGAGTGAGACTCCATCTCAAAAATAAATAAATAAATAAATATCTGAAGATAAGGCCAAGGTCAGCGGAAATTTGAAAGGCAATAAAATACCTTGGTGCTCCTGAAAAGAACTAAAGGAAAGCTTGGATTGCGAATCATACCAAGTAGGCGCTCATCCTTATCTGAAAGCCATTGTTCTTCAAGCCTTTCCTCCTCTTGTTTAGCACTTTCTATATTTGCCCAGATCAAGGGAAAACTTCACTTTGTCCCCATATTCCCACCTTTTTCAGCCTGTCATTATTTCTAGTATGATCTGGTTGTGTACATTTCCTTCATTTTACATGTGGCTCAGGAGTAACATCTCTGAATTTCCTTCTTTCCTCATTTCCCACAAACCCCACGATCCCCAGCCTACCCTAAAATCTCTTCATTTAACTGGTACCATGCAACTTTGATAGAAGTCATCGCAGCTTCTAGGGTTATGTGGGTATGGCTTGTTGAGTCCTAAAACTAGGCAATCAGAGAGTTTCTCAATGCTGAACCTCTGGAGATCGCTTGGCAGTGTGCACACTCCACTTCTACTGATAAGTTTTCCAATATGCTCATTATCAGCAATTGAAAACTAGATATGAATTTATTTAATTAATATTTACTGAATACCTATCACAGGGTCAGCCTCATTAAATGCAGGCAGGGTAAAGTAGCTATAATAAGACCTTGTCCTGGGCTGAAGCAATATAAAGGATATTGGGTGGAAAGAGAAGTAAGCTCGAAACAAAGCACTGGTTCTGCCACTGATGAGCCAGGTGAGCCATGGAGATCTCCACCCACTGTTTCTTCATTCATAAAATGAAGGCGTTAGACCCGTGCAGTGGCTCTTAGCCATAACAGCATGTTAGAATCGCCTGGGAGCTTTTGAAACTTCCCAATTCCAAGGCCCCACCCAAATCAAAGGAATCAGAACCTCTGAGAGGACAGTCCCAGCAGGAGCTTCCCAGAGGATTTCAACACACTGTGTGGATTGCAAACCACTGGCCTATGTCATCTGTCAGGACCAATCTTGTCCCAAACATTTTCTGAGTAACACACATCCAGGCACTTAATAGATTTGCTGTCAGTTCACCTTTTACCTAATGTTATTGCTTTATTTTCTGGTTCAGGATTGGGGTTTTTTGTTTGTGTTTTGGGGGGAAAAGGAGGAGTTAAAAGCAGGTGGTCCTTTAGATGCTTTTGTCACGTTTCTTTGGCAAATAACGTTCTTTCTTGCCATTCTCTATTATTTTTAATTTACTTCCAAAGAATAGTCAATAATACAAAGTAAATACTGTTTAAAAGAACAGGCTTCTTTTTAACAAACAATGTGAGTTCAAGAGGATAAGTGGTTACTTATAAAGTGGAGCCTGAGTTATTCTCTTTAATGTGCAATTTTCAGGAGAGTCCTTAGCTAAACTTAAGCTTGCTTCGTTTATTTTTAATTGAATAGCATTTCTGTGATTTTAGTTCACTTATTTCATTATTTTTGTAATTTATTGCTTTGTTCCCCTTTTCCAAAATAGAAAAAAAAAAAAAAGTGAACACACACCCACACTCCCACACACACCAATTTAGGAAAGATAAAGTTTGAAAACTGTTCAGATCTCTTAACTGAGCTGACCTGGGATAGAACACATTGCTATGCTGAAGAGGCTTTTACTTATTTTTGGAAATGATTTTTGTCAGTTAAATTTCCTGTTTCTATTAATGCTGTGCTTTTTCTAAGTGTCTATTGCTGCTTCTTGACTCTATTAAAAAAATCCAGCAGCCTCTAGGTGATCTGAGTCAAGCAGACATCTCGATCAAGGGTGAGGAATAGCAGAGAATACTTGCTGGAAGATGAGAATGAAGTACAGCAAAGAGATATGAGCTTCAATACAGCAGGGCAGTGGTTTTAAAATGACTTTTTGTGATAATTTTTACCACAATATTTATTTATTTGATAATAAAATTAAAACTTATTAATGAAGTAGAAAAATATAGAAAATTGGAAATAATTATTTTAAATAATATAATAGTCATATTACCAAAAGGTAGAACTTTCTAAGAATTTGATGTGATTTCTCTAGCCCTTTTTCCTTTCCCAGAGATAGGCTTTGGGGTTTATTCTTATTTTTTATTATTTTACATAGCATCATATAAAAATAATTTTGATTTGTGCTTTATTTTCCATTTAAGTATATGGTAATATACTCTTACCAGACATACTTTCTAAACACAGACTGATTGATTGATTCATTTATATATATATATATATATATATATATATATATTTTTTTTTTCAGACAGGGTTTCACTCCTATTGCTCAGGCTGGAGTGCAGTGACATCATCTCGTTTCACTGCAACCTCCACCTCCCAGGCTCAAGCAATTCTCCTGCCTAAGCTTCTCAAGTAGCTGTGATTACCCACACCTGCCACCATGCCCAGCTAATTTTTGTATATTTTTCGTAGAGATGGGGTTTCTCCATATTTCCTAGGCTGGTCTCAAACTCTTGAGCTCAAGTGATCCACCCACCTCAGCCTCCCAAAGTGCAGGATTATAGGTGTGAGCCACCACACTGGCCTCACATAATATTTTTAAGAATCTAACATTTTCCATGTGTTTTCTGAAATAATGGAAATGGTGCCTCTGGAGTTGTGCAACCCAGGAGCCATGAATAAAATGGACAAAAATTCCTTTCATCCAGGAAGTTACATTATAGGTGAGGAATGCAGATAATAAAATGGATATACTAATTATATAGCTTATTAAACAGTGATAAACCTAAACTAAATAGTCAAGAAATATTGAGAACGTTGGAGGAAGGTAAGAGTTTAAAATAATGTGGCAATGGAAGTCCTCAATGAGAAGGTGAAGTTTAAGAAATAATTTAAGAGATGAAGCAAATCAAGTGGTACCTGGTAGGAAAGTATTCCGGAAATAGCACGTGCAAGTTCCCTAAGGTAGAATCACGTACAAAATGTTCAAAAAAGAGCAAAGGGGCCAGTGCAGCTGCAATGAAGCAAGACAGGAAGAGAGTATTTTAAAATGAAAGCATAAAGGGTAAGAGATTTAAAATGTATGGAATATGACAGACCATTATAAAGACTTCATCTTTTACTTTGAATGAAAGAGAAAGATATTGTTAAGTTTTGATCAAAGGAAACAAAGATCTAAATTGAGACTTAGTAGGATTATTCTTCCTGTTGTGTTGAAAAATAGACCATAAGTGGATAAGGAGAGAAGCAATGAGTTCATATGGAAGGTTATTACAATAATCCAGGCAAGAGATGGCTTGGTGATTGCAATCTGTCATAGGAGGAAGTGGGTAGAATCTGGATATTATTTTAAAGTAGAGTCAATTGGTTTTGCTGATTGACTAGATGTGAGGTATGAAAGTAAAAGACTAGTCAAAAATGATTCCAAAGCTTTTTGCCTAAGAAATTGATAGGATAGAGCAGACGTAAACCAAAAGTGGAAAGACTGAGAGAGAGCAGGTTTGAAAAAGAAAGTCAGAAATTTCATTTTGGACATGGTAATAATTTCTTCTTCTTCTTCTCTTTCTCCTTCTCCTTCTCCTTCTCCTCCTCCTCCTTCTCCTCCTCCTCCTCCTTCTCCTCCTCTTTCTTCCTCTTCCTCTTCTTCTTCCTCTTCCTCTTCCTCCTCCCCTTCTTCCTCTTTCTTCCTCTTCTTCTTCCTTCTTCTTCTTCTGTCTTCTTCTTCTTCTTCTTTTTCTTCTTCTTCTTCTTATTCTTCTTCTTCCTCCTCCTCCTCCTCCTCCTCCTCCTCTTCCTTCTTCTTCTTCCTTCTTCCTTCTTCTTTCTTCTTCCTTCTTCTTCTTCTTCTTTTTTTTCTGAAACAGAGTCTCATTCTGTTATCCAGGCTGCAGTGCATTGGTATGATCTCAGCTCACTGCAACCTCCACCTCTCAGGTTCAAGAGATTCTCCCGCCTCAGCCTCTGGAGTAGCTGGGACTACAGGTACAAGCCACCACACTCAGCTAATTTTTGTACTTTTAGTAGAGACTGGGATTCACCATGTTGGCCAGGCTGGTCTCGAACTCC